CCCGGGGCTCGAGAGAGCGTCCAGCACCATGCGTGTGGATAAATGGGATTCGCCTGAAAAGCGAGAACAGAAGGCGAGAAGAGGTAGAGTGGCGAAGAAAAGATACGTAATAGTGAAGGTAGGACCTTTTTAGAATAGGAAAAAAAAAGTTGTATATAAGAAATTTTAGTGTCATAAATTTGCTACGAAATATTTTATCTGACGTTTATAAAGAAGTCAGCAGCCTAGTGAAATTGTTTAAGTATCCGAGATGTCTGAGAAAAGTCTGAAGTGAGTCTCCTTGGTCTCCTGGGTCGAGTACCCCTTGTGTCAATTGAGTATCAGTCGAGTCTGCGTTGATTCTAGTCCGATCGAAGTCGCGATCAAGTCGCTCTACGCGGGCAGTTCGACGCTTTGAAGATCTTGAAAATCTTTCTACAAAATATCTTCTGACCGAAGTATCGGAGCGTCGAGCTAGAGCGACTTAATCGCGACCATAACTAGACTTCAGTCGGACAAGAATCAACGCAAAAACTTGACTGATACTCAATTGGGACAAGAATCACTCGACCTACGTGAAAGTGACGCCAGACTTGTCCCAGACATTCGGCACAAGCATACCAGTGTAAAATTCAAAGATTCTACGTCAAACCTTTTTTTCGGTACTCATCAGATAAAGAGATACCACCATTACCAACCCTTCACACCCTGCCAGCCTTGTCACAGTGACGTATACTCGTGCCGCGATATCAGTTTCACGTTGAGATGACTTATCTACGTTTAAGTTCCTAAGGATATCGGCCCCCTGAAAGTGAACCGACTATACGTGATTCCTAGCTACACTAACATCATTCTTGAAGCGGAAAGTGTTAAAAATACAGATTCCTGATACATTTGAATTTCACCTAGTCCACGTGTTGAGTTCGTCGAACAAAGTGGTACCAGCGTCGGATGACAGAAGTGAGGTTAGATCGAAAGAAAAAGGAGATCCAAAGTATAAGGAGAGAGGGAGCCAGCGAGAGTGAAGGGAGG